TCCTTTCTCCCTCCTTTCTCTCTCTCCTTTTCTTTTACACCTTTCTCCTCCCTTTTTTTTTCTCTCTTTTCTCTCCCCTTGCTCTTTTCCTGTCTCCCATTCTATTCCCCTCTTTCTTTCTTTTCTTGCTCCTCCTTTCTCCTCCCTTATGTTATCTTTATCTCTTTCTATTGGTACCTCTCTCTCTCTCTCTATCTCTCTTTTCCTCTCATATCTATCTTATCTATCCCTATCCTCTCCCCCCCCTCTCTCTCTCTCTCTTTCTTTTTCCTCTCATATCTATCTTATCTATCCCTATCCTCTCTCTCCCTCTCTATCACTCTCTCTCCTCTTCTTTTCTTTCTCATTCTCCCTGCTTGCTTTCTCTTTCTTCTCCCGTAATATCTATCTCTCTGCCTTCTCCATGTTCTTTCTCCCCCCTCTCTCTCCATCCCTCCATACTATCCTTCTTCTCCTCTTTTGTGTCTTCTTTCGTTGTCCTTGATGTCCCACCATTGTGCAGCTCCCCTTTAAGATTTTAAGAAGACCACAAGCCTGCAATCTCTTAAAAGCAGCATCCACAGGGCCATCACCCTCCCGCCACCATCCAGTGACCGCACATTCATCTTTGCATACATAAATGCCTTTGCGCTGACCTTCAGATGCCATTAAGTGAATATCTCCACCTATCCAATTTAATGTTGCCCGCTAGCACAGAAAAGAGTTAATTGTTCCGAACACTCATGGCGTGTTACTATGTCCCGGCCATCAATCAGCGGTGGTATAAGCTGGGATCTGAAGTCTATACATGGAAGGCACTCAGATAAAAGGCACCAGAAATCATGTGATCAAATGGAAAAATGGAAGAGGGTCAAATGACAGCTGGCGGTCCAGCCTATTGCCAGTCACAAGGGCAGGCCACAAACTGCTCAGTGATGACCTCTCAGCAAATCCACCGGGCTGCCAAACCAAACAAATGAGTAGAGTAAAAAAAAAAAAACGCTGCAGACCACAGCTTGGAGCGCCCGGCCTTTTACCGAGGAAGACTTAAAATAGACATGCCATTAGCAGAGTATTAAAGGCAGGACAACTGAAGAAACAAGCCATACACAAGAAGACGGGAGGTCATAATGATCTCTTCTATCCTCCCTCCAGATATTTTGGGGTCATCTTTTTGTTTCAACAAACAGAATCGCCATTGAAACAAAAAAAAGCTTGTCTAATGGCCGAGCCAATTAGATCTCTGACCTAATTTGCTGACCCTTTGAAGCAGAACCCAGAATAACTTGTTCTCTATACCCAGCCTGATTTTACATCAATGGCAGTCAATGGGAAGTATGCTGCATCTTTGCCTGCCTTCACCTTGACAGCAGTTGCTAGAACCTTCAGGTCCCTGGTAGAAGAAACCATGAAGGGCCTCCACTGGCCCAGGGCCATTCCAGTGGCAAAAAGCCTGGGTCGGGCGCAAGTGCAACCTTTGTGACCCTGGTAGTTTTGCCACTGGTGTCAGTAGTTTTTATGTTTGTTTGTTTTTTTACCAGTTTGTTTATTTATTTGTTGGGATTTTCTTACATTATTATTTTTTAATTATTTTTTACAATTTTTTTTAGCCCCACTGGGGCTTTGGTGAGATATCAGGGGTCTAAACAGACCTCTGATGTTTCACTTTTGAGACAGAGAAAGAAGATTGAGGACACAGCCCTCTATCTTCATCTCTGCAGCCTCAGCTGTACAGAGTTAATGGACAGGAATAGCTCTGTACAGAGCGCCCTGTTCATTCACAAACGAAACACAGTTTACTACACTTCCATTATGAATGAACAGAGTCTTTGATCAATACTGATCACTGACTCTCTATTCAGAAAAGGAATTGGCCGGTAAATGACATATTTACCGCCCCCCTTCCCTGCTCTCCATCCTGGCAGCATCCCCCACAGCAGCCGGCAGTAGAGGGGAGGGAGGAACACGGCAGTGCTGCAGGGGAGAAGGGGGAGCTGGGAAAGAGCTTAGGGGGGCTCCAGAGAGCACAGGGGCACTGGAGACCACAAATAGGGTTGCCGGAGAGCATGGGAGTAACTGGAGAGCATGGGGGGGGGGGCGCTGAAGAGCACAGGGTGCCAGTGGAGAGCATGGGGGCCACTGGAGAGCACGGGGACTACTGGAGAGCATGGGGGGCACTGGAGAGCATGGGGACTACTGGAGAGCATGGGGGGGCACTGGAGAACATGGGGGGGCAGCAGAAAGAATCTGGATAGGAGGAGTGGTGGGGGCAGCTGCATATAAAAAAATAGATCTCTCTATGTTCCTCCTGCAGCCGATGTATGCCCACTTCTCCTCCTCTCCCTCCTGCAGGCATTCAGCGGCTGCAGGAGGAATATGAAGAGATTGAGTCCTCTATATGCAGCCAATCCCCACTGCTCCTCCTATCCAAGTATACAGGGGGGCCGCACGGGCCCCCTGCAGCATGGGGCCAGGGCGCAATTGCGACCCCTATAGGTATGCTCCTGATTGACAGATTCCATGGCTGGCCCCAAACAGCTAATTATTCAAATATTAAATTTAACCCTTTCACTGCTGGGGGTATTTTTGCTGGGGGGGGGGGGGGGGGGGGGGGTTGCACACATTTTGGCCTGAAGATTACCTAAAACCCCCCAAACATTAGATATTTTCTGAGAGTTCCAATTTCTTAAATGTAACACAATATTTGGGCCATGGTTTTCACGTGCAAATTGTCTGTAAAAAAAATGCACTACCGTTTAAAATATAAAAGATGAGGTTGCATCAAGTAAATAGATACCCAACATGTCAAGATTTAAAATTGCACGCACCTGTAAATTGACAATTAACTTTGGTACCCTATATTTTCCATAGACGCTGATTTAAAATCCCCAACAGGTCAACAGTTTAGATTTAGAGTTATTGCTTTCACTCTGAGTGGCAATGCATACCATACATAGTGCAAGTGACATTTTATAACTAGGCAGCCCCAACAGGTGTCTTTACATTTGTATGTGCTTGCATGTGGGGGCAAGGCAGGCTCAAATCTGTTTTTGGGGGAGGTTTAAGTGTTTGGGTGTAACTTTATTTTTTGACCCTTTTTTATTTTCAATAAACCTTTATTCATATCATTCAGGAGACCTGCTGTATGTCCCCTATGTGATATAATGTCTTTGTGATACGTACTCTTTAATGAAATATCAGGGTAGTATTACTGGGCACCACCCAGTAGCTGATTCAATGCCTTCCTCAGTCCTTACGGCAATGGAGCCCAATAGTAGCCTCACCCAGCACAAGTTTCCTTTCTAGAAGACGTTCCCATCATGAGGTTAGGAGAAGGAAGAGTCCACACAAAGACGACCTTCTAACTCTTTTATTGCTGCACTGTTGATTTACTGTACTTATTTAGATCCTTTTAATTATCCAAATGGTGACGGCACAATCATTAGTTGTAAACAGATGGGAGTTGAGTCAAGAAGCAGCCCATGCTTTTAGAGGTCTTGCCATATTTCTACATCCCTCACCAAAGGGATGTGAGCAGTCCCATTGGTCCTGCACCTCTCCTTCCTTTCTCTTCCCCTAAGGGGAATCTCCCTTAAATATTTGCATACCTTGGTCCTTGCAGTTTCCAATGACCAAATGAGCCACGAGTAGAGTCTTACCAAACTATATACACAGCCCTCCCACCCAAGATGCCCCACACTGGCAGTGACTAAGCTGGCACTTACTATCTATGGCAGGGGCGGACTGACCATTTGGAAACTCGGGCACTGCCCGAGGGCCCGGGGTCAGTAGGGGGCCCCATGAGATGCCCCTGGTACCTTTTTCATAGGCTTTTTTGAGTTTGGGCAAGGACATAGGGGTCCCATGATCCCCTGTTGCCCGGAGGCCCCATGAGTTGTCCGTCCGCCCCTGATCTATGGTACACCCCACTTACTACGCTGGCGAACTATACTGGCTACCTAGGCTTTAACAATACCTACCTTTACTACAGGTTTCCCAACTCTAACTATGGCGACATCCATTGCCCAATTTGGAGGACAACAATGGGCACACCTATGTTCCTACTCTACAGTTTCAATAGTGATAGTGCTATCTGGTGATAAAGTGTAGTAGGAGTGTGCGACTCACAAGAGTTGTAAACCCTTTCATATACCCTGTGAAGTGATTGGCCACAGATGCTACACAGAGATTAAACAAATCCTCCTTCATAAGTTGTATCTGTTTATCTGCAGTATTCTCTTCTCTACCTCTGATCAAAGTTAGAATTTATAGAGCTTGTCTGAAATTCAAAAAAAAGGATGGAGAGCTGAAATTAGGGAAGGCACACACACCCCTGCACACAGCACACAGGAACAGAGCTGAGGGTGTCAGTCACAGGCTGTGTGCTGTAGCCCCCTCCCTGTCACCTTTTTTTTCTCTTGGCGTCAGGAACACTTGCCAGAAGTGATTCATGATGATAGAAGAGAAACAAGGCAGCAGACAGAAATGACACTTAGTGCTCTGGATTGAGACAAGAACACAGTCCAGAGGGATATGCTTTGTTCATATTTCATGTCTGAGGTGTACAACCATTTTAACATTTGCTGCTAATTCTTTGTCCAGTAAGCAAGTGGATGACACAGGAAGCTGCAGCAGAAAACATTGGTGTCACCATCATGGTAACCTAGTTTTTCCCGGGTATGTACGTAACAGGGGCGGACTGACAACTCATGGGGCCCCCAGGCAATAGGGGATCATGGGGCCCCTGTGTCCTTGCCCAAACTCAAAAAAGCCTATGGAAAAGGCACCAGGGGCATCTCATGGGGCCCCCTACTGACCCTGGGCCCTTGGGCAGCACCCGAGTTTCCAAATGGTCAGTCCGCCCCTGGTACGTAATTTAAAAGACTAACCGGAGGGTCAGCTTTTTTTTTAGCATTTTCACATATGTCTGCCTGGAGTTTCAATTAAAACAAGGGTTAAAACAAGAAGCGGGTAGACCTAGCTGAGCTCAACAGTGGAGATTCCTCATATATCCTGACAACTCCTGGGGCCCCCGGGCAATGGGGGATCATGGGGCCCCTGTGTCCTTGCCCGAACTCAAAAAAGCCTATGAAAAAGGTACCAGGGGCATCTCATGGGGCCCCCTACTGACCCCGGGCCCTCGGCAGTGCCCGAGTTTCCAAATGGTCAGTCCGCCCCTGGTACGTAATTTAAAAGACTAACCGGAGGGTCAGCTTTTTTTAGCATCTTCACATATGTCTGCCTGGAGTTTCAATTAAAATAAGGGTTAAAACAAGAACAGGGTAGACTTAGCTGAGCTCAACAGTGGAGATTCCCCATATATCCACAATGGTGCCTTTGTAGGGCCAGTACCCCTCCCCCAGGCCATGAGCGTTCCCTCTAGTTGCTGGATGATTGCAGATAGAAAATTATCTGGCACAGCTTCCACTCCTCACTGAAACCCCGAGCACGGATGCAGAGCGCTTCACGGTCTATTTTCTATTTATTTTATATCCATACTGTTCAAAGTGATCTATCGGTCAGATTTAAATAAATAGAGGTCTGTTTGGTTTTTTTTTTTTCCCTCTCTCTGTAGGCTGATATGATCTTGCAGCTGAGCGCTGCGTATAGATTTCTTGACTCCTTGTCGGTGAGGACGATCTATCACTTCTGCGGAAGGACAGTTTAGATGACAAGAGAAGGGATAACAAACCTCCAGAACAAGACAGGTCTGAGGACAAGGCGATGTTACATCAAAGGCAGAATAGCCGAGGACTACAGCATAAAAGCAAAAAAAAATGGGGAAAAAAAAGCGGCAGGCTGAGAGAATAACAATTTCTCAAGGCACTTTTCCTAACCTGCCGCCCAATATATCCTGAATGGGGAGGGTGTGCAGAGAAAAATGCATTTTGAATGCTTTATCTTTCTTCTGTGGCACTCCTCAAGCCATGAACAAATATTATAGTAGAACTAGAGGCAAAACTTTTATACCCCCGTTTTGTTTTCTTGTGCCATCTGTGTCCCATTGGGGAGATTTCCCTTCATTTCATGTCCCATAGCCACAATGTGCAGTGGGTGGTAAGTGTGGGAATCCCTGGCTATCCCCAGGGTCTCCAATGGAAGATTCCCTTTCTATTTCTGTTCTGGTGACAACCAAATATGTGGAATTTTCCTTCACTTTCGGTGATAACGGTAAACAAGACAGAAAGGGTGAATCTCCCTAACAGGGGCACAGACAGCAATGAAGACCTGACAGCAATAAAGACCTGACTAGTGTTGTAATCCCTCTCATCTCCATCCAAAATTAAAAACAAACGTTTCCCCTTTGGTTATACTTTAAAGCAGTGGTTCTCAGCCTTCCTAATGCCATGACCCTTTAATACAGTTCCTCATGTTGTGGTGACCCCCAACCATAAAATTATTTACCCAATAATTATAATTCATGAGTGTCGTTTTTATACCTCTAATACTGCTGCTGCTTTCAACACAGCAGCTGCTTTCTACACAGTAGCTGCTCTTTACACATCGGAAATATGTGTTTTCTGATGGTCTTAGGGGACCCCTGTGAAAGGGTCGTTCGACCCCCAAAGGGGTCGCGACCCACAGGTTGAGAACCACTGCTTTAAAGGGTAAGTTCACTTTTTCATGAAAAATAACTCCAAACATCCTAGCCACCACTCTTGCCCCCACTGCACATAGTGGCGGTGATGTCCAATGGTGTTGGTGAACACCATACACCGCATTACAGAGCCCTGGGGTGAGTATCCATCATAATAAGTACAATTGCCCAGCGCAGTCACGTGGCCTTGCTGACTAACGGGAATTGCTTCTTTTCTTTTGGGACACTTTACTGGAAGAAGAAACTTTAGATGCACTTCTCATTGGTCAGCAGGGTCACATGGCTGTGCTGACCAATGAGCGCTTGCCATGGCGCACATTATGATGGATACTCACTCTGGGGCTGTACAGAACGAGGCATCATGACCGTTATGTGAAGCAGGGTCCTAAGGAGCTGCCAGGATATTTGGAGCTATTTTTTGTGAAAATTTGAACTTGCCCTTTAAGGAGCAATATCATGAGCCCTCAACTCAATGTCTAAGGATGAAACTCAATGACAGATGGCTGGTGGATCACCTTTGATCATAAGTTTGTCAGTACACCCGACACATTTTTGGGCAGTATGTGTCTCCTTCATCAGGGCAGTTTGTCTGAAACCTTTTTTTTTCAATAAGGTAAGATAAAGGAATTCAAAATATGCCTTATATACAAGCCAGTGGCTGAAGGCTTCTTTTTCTGGTAAGGTGACCCCAGAGACAGAAGGGTTTCTCAATGGTCAATGTGGTCACAAGGTCAAACTGACTAGAGCTCTTGCCATGGTAGACATTATAACAGATACTCCAGGGCTTTGTGTTGCGGGGTATGGTGTACAGACCAATACATCAGTAGTGGTTCGGAGGGATGCCAAAGATATTTGGAGTTCACTTTGCCCTGTCGGCTATAGTATTCCGGCACTTGCGGATGTGAGAATACCCAAACAATGACTGCATCTGATTGGATGCAGGCTTTGCCTATAATTTTCTGACTGGCTCTTTCAATTTTCAGACCAAAGGATGTTGAGCCTACAGGGCTACCTTTGCCTTGAATTTCAACCTGTTCAGAAGGATTTGGCAGAAATTTGCTCCCTGTATGGCCAGCTGAAGGGTCCTTTCATATGGTCATATCTGAGCCGTTCAGTCGTGAACAGATCCCCTGCTGAATCGGTGCTAAATGGGACCAATGTCACTTTTGTGACATCCATGGCCAAGATGTTTTTTTGTCCACATTTTGACAGTGGACTTTAATGGACCTGTGATGACTATATGGGCAGTCCGATGTAATCGGACTTGTGTTCATTTATATCAGACTTCCTTGAATCTGGTAAATTTTGATCCAAAAAAAATGGAAGACTCTTCATTTGTCCTTTTCCATGTTTTTTGCCAGACATGGGCAGACTCAGAGGTAGTGAACTCTGAACTCAAATCTGTTCACTGGTCCCTGTCCATAGATGTGCATGGAGGTTCCAATCATGTCCACCTGAAAAACTGACAGGCATACCTGGCCAGGAAGCTCATGTGACAGGGTCCTTACACTTCCAGATATTTACTCACAGTACTCATCTGCTTCTTTTTCCCCAGCAAAATGGTTCCATCTTTGTTCAGCCTGTAACTAGGGCCTTGTAATTGGCTAGATGTTGGCGTTAAGAGCACAAGTCCTTGCCCTGCACCTCTACTTGCTAGAACAGTGACCGTCCTGCTGAGGCTGTAACTTCTGCCATCTTGTGCCCAGTCCATGCCAGAGGCCTCCTCCTGACATTCCGGCTGTTGACCACACATGAATAGAGCTGCTGCACTTTACTGGTGGTACTTTGAAAATGGCATAAACAGTCACATCACATCGTCACTTGAAAGTACACAGTGACACATTTAGTGGATGGTCCACAGTAGTCACATGTGAAAGCATCATGCAGCACTCTAAGTTAGTCATCTTCCCTTAACAGTCCCTTTCCAGTTGGGGTCATTAGTACTCACTGGTATGGGATCTCTGCAGTCACCTTCTCCATAGGTACACTTTTCCCGGGACCCTCCATGGAAATACCCTTGCTCAGGGTACTCTTGGTCAGGTTTAGAAGGCTTTTTGCAACCCACCCTAGCCCCGACTTCATAAGAGTCAGGAAGTCCACAGCCAGCTCTCCTGGGTGCAGGTCTACCTCTCCCCGGCCTCTAGCCCTGTCCCAAGGCAAACCCTTGCTAGCTACATCTGCCTATATGTGGGGTGTTTGGTTCCCATGTCCCAACTGCACTAGGGCTAGTCTCATCCTACCATATGGGCACTGCCTTACCCATTACATCACTACAGGAAGGCTTTGATGTAGGCTGGCCATACGCCATACAATTTTCTGTCCAATTTCTGCCCAATTTCCTTTAGATTTACCTTCAACTATATAGTATAAGGGCCTGCCTAATTGGATACAATTGAAAGTGTTGTTTAGGTTTGACCTCATATTATATGGTGTTTGGTAAATCTAAAGCAAAATTCTCAAGAAAATTGTATAATGTATGGCAGGGGTCCTCAAACTACGGCCCGCGGGCCACATGCGGCCTGCCAAGGCCATTTATCCAGCCCGCCAGCAGGGGCGTATTTTCCATGAGGAAGGGACACTAACTACAGGGGTGGGCAGGAGGCTGCTTTACCTTACCTGGCTCCGCTCCCAGTCCCACGACGATCCAGTCCAGGAAGCGCTGCTCCTTCATTTACTCCGGCCACTCCCTCACTCCTGCCGCTCGGCTCCGCCTCCTCACCGGTGATTGGGCGCCAGAACTGTAGCTCAGGAAAGGCACACAGGCGGCCAATCACCTGTGAGGAGGCGGAGCCAAGCGGCTCCGCGAACATCGAGTGAGGGAGAGGCCGGAGTGAAGAAGAACAGCTGACAGGTAAGTGTGCCGTGCTGATGGTGCTGCTGCAACCAGGTATGCTGGCTGCAGCAGCACCATGCTGGAGCAGGGGTCAGCAAGTTAAGTGTCATTGGTGTCAGAGGGAGGAATAGTGCCCCATCATTGGTGTCACTGATACTAATGATGGGGCATTATTCCTCCCACTGACACCAATGATGGGGCACTATTCCTCCCCCCACTGACACCAACGATGGGGCACTATTCCTCCCCCCACTGACACCAATGATGGGGCACTATTCCACCCCTCACTGACACCAACGATGGGGCACTATTCCTTCCCCCCTGACACCAACGATGGGGCACTATTCCTCTCTCCCCCCCTTGACACCAAAATGGGGCACTATTCCTTCCCACTGACACTAATGATGGGGCACGATTCTTCCCACTGACCCCAATGATGGGGCACTATTCCTCCCACTGACCCAATGATGGGGCACTATTCCTCCCACTGACACCAATGATGGGGCACTATTCCTCCCACTGATACCAATGATGGGGCACTATTCCTCCCACTGACACCAACGATGGGGCACTATTCCTCCTACTGACACCAATGATGGGACACTATTCCCCCACTGACACCAATGATGGGGCACTATTCCTTCCACTGATACCAATGATGGGGCACTATTCCTCCCACTGACACCAATGATGGGGCACTATTCCTCCCACTGACACCAACGATGGGGCACTATTCCTCCTACTGACACCAATGATGGGACACTATTCCTCCCACTGACACCAATGATGGGACACTATTCCTCCCACTGATACCAATGATGGGGCACTATTCCTCCCACTGATACCAATGATGGGGCACTATTCCTCCCACTGACACCAATGATGGGGCACTATTCCTCCCACAGATACCAATGATGGGGCACTATTCCTCCCACTGACACCAACGATGGGGCACTATTCCTCCTACTGACACCAATGATGGGACACTATTCATCCCACTGACACCAATGATGGGACACTATTCCTCCCACTGATACCAATGACGGGGCACTATTCTTTCCACTAATACCAATGATGGGGCACTATTCCTCCCACTGACACCAATGATGGGGCACTATTCCTCCCACTAATACCAATGATGGGGTACTATTCCTCCCACTGACACCAATGATGGGGCACTATTCCTCCCACTAATACCAATGATGGGGCACTATTCCTCCCACTGACACCAATGATGGGGCACTATTTCACTCCATAAGACACACTTGGGGGGAAATGTCTGTGCGTCTTATGGAGCGGCCGGCCCAGTATTCCCCGCCGCCGTTGTATGTCCGCAGTCTCTGGTCATCTCCTGTACTGTGTTCATAGTTTTATTTTTTTGAAACTATAGTCCGGCCCTCCAACGGTCTGAGGGACAGTGAACTGGCCCCCAGTTTAAAAGGTTTGAGGACCCCTGATGTATGGTCAGCTTAACAGTGGCCTAACACCTGATGACACTGCTTTCTGTAACCAGACACTATTCTGGAACAGAGCCACCTAGTGGCAAATTAGTTAACTGCACCTGCCTCCAAGCCATTATCACAGGTTCATCTAGGGCAGTGTTTCTCAACCTTTTTTCAGTCAAGGCACCCTTTAAAATTATGGACAATCTTGAGGCACCCCATTCTAAAATGGGGTGCCTCTAGACTGTCCATAATTTTAAAAGAGCATCCAATTCTAAAATGTGAAAATGTATTCTAATAGTTGTATAAAACACAGCAACATCCACACATGTAGAACACCCAACATTGGAGGTAATTTATTCTTCCAAAGCACATACACATTTGCACACTGGTACCGAGTAGTATTCCCATGTTTCTCTTCTCCCTCCGTTTTTCTCCATCACTGGGCTAATGTGGCCCCATCACTGATGGAGAGGGGCGGGGGAGGGTCAAACTAGGATGCTGTGCAGGCAGCTGACATCCTCCTTATCAAATGGTGATGTCATTGGTTGTCAGGACACTGGTGGCTAGAAGGTCGTAATAGTGCACAATGGAAACCTGTGGCTTTGTGTAATTAAAAGGCAGGCTTGTTCCACCTGCAGACTTAAAGTTTTGGGCAATTTTTTTACACATTTTGCCAAGGCCTCCCTGAAGACACCTCAAGGCACCCCAGGGTGCCTGGGCACCCTGGTTGAGAAAGGCTGATCTAGGGATACACTAAGCTTTTCTGGTCTTCCCACAAATCTCATTCTTTTGCAGGGGCAAGTCTATTTTTTTGGGCCCAGGTCCAATTGGCCCATTTCTTCTTGCAGATCTGCTAACATTTATATTGCTTTTAGCAATTTTGGTAAAATTTTTAAATTGCTGTGTAGATTATTACAACCACTCATGTAAAGGAAAAGTATTGATGCCGTCCATGGCAAATTACTGCTTTCCTTTCCTCCACAAACCTGGATTCTGGTTGTTATGAACCAGAACAGTTATATTTTTAAACAGTCCTGATGTCTTTTATAAAAACCTGTCTTAAGCCCAGGCTATTTAAACTGAGCCTAGGATTAAAAGAAAAAAATGCATAAGCATAGGTCACCTTTAGTGAAAGTCCTTACTATCTACAACCTACACTGCATCTGTTCACAAATATTGTGATTATAAGCTGCAGCTTACCACTGATCCTTCAGTCCGGTTTCAATGTTATACTGTACATACGTTCATGCCGCGCTATTTTCATTCCTCCTTTTTATGTGCCGCCACTAAAACCCATCTGGCAGAAGCATTAACTGGCTTCCCACAGCCTCATTCTTAGTTTCTAAAACTTCTTAGCCTCAGTTCTTCTCTGCTTGTGGCCCTAATCTCGCCAAGTTTGAGAGATATAGACAGTTGAATCTTTACTTTTTCCAGTAAAATTCACATATTGGAACAAACCCGAGTCCTCAACTGGTCTTCTGAGGAGGTGGCCCCAAACTCAGGTTTTACATGAAAAGTCAAGATTTGCATATAACTTACCTATTGATTGTTTTGGTGTGCAGGTTTCAATTAGGGAACCTCACTTGTATATTTTCATAATTTTCTCTGTCTGTGTTTGCTACCTTAAAACCAGTAATAAAATGATTAAAACAGCCCTCCTTTAGGGTTTATGAAGAATCTATTGCTCACTTTTATAGAGCTGTGGTTGTCAACCTTTTTGAGACCAGGGACCAGTAAATTATTTCAAAACTTTCCATGCCCTAACAGTAAAAAGTAAAAAAAGAAGTTGATGCAAAATGTGTACTGAAATGATGGAAGGCTCTGCATAGGGCTGGGTGTCACTCTGAGTTGATAGAGGTTGTGGAGTGGGTTAGGCGACTCTAGAGCTGACTTGGTGGCTCTGTAGGAGATGAGGTTTCTGCAGGAAGCTGGAGGCACTTCGGGACACTGAGGTTGAGGGCTCTATGGAGGGCTGGAGTTTCTGTAGCAATCTGGGGGGCACTGCAGGAGGCTGGGCAGCACTATGAAGGCCGAGGGTTCTCTGGAGGCACCGAGGGGCACTATGGGAGGTTCAGGGGCACTATGAAAGCTTGGAGGCACTATGGGAGTTTAATGGATCTGCAGTTGACTAGAGGCCCAGTAGAAGGAAAGCCCAACAGTAAGCCACAGCCCGCTGGTTGAGAACCACTGTTCTAGGGGATGATCTGACATGGGCAGGGGTGGACTGACAACTCATGGGGCCCCCGAGCAATAGGGGATCATGGGGCTCCTGTGTCCTTGCCGAAACTCAAAAAAGCCTATGAAAAAGGTACCAGGGGCATCTCATGGGGCCCCCTACTGACCCCGGGCCCTCGGCAGTGCCCAAGTTTCCAAATGGTCAGTCCGCCCCTGGACATGGGGTAATACTTACCGCACAACCTTGCAGCTGGTGTTCCTCCACTCCACTACTGGAATGTGACTGGGCACTCCTACATCATCATATACAATACAAAACCAGTAGCCTTATCAGAAGTATGGACATGGTCTGTGGTCCTGCATTGTACATGTTGGCATCAGAAAGAAGGGTATCAGCAAGATTGGTCTGAACGGCAAGAGGAGCAGTTTTGAGGGACCTGTTGTCACAACTGGAAATGGCAGAGAGTAATACTGTGCTGAGTGCTTAAGTTTCCCCAAGCAGAAATACATTATTAGAGATTTCAAGCATCCAATGCTCCTAGAGGACATTGGTGAGGCAGAGGAACATCACAGGTACCTACAATAAATGGGTTCAATAGAAGCACTTTTTAAAAGTTTCTTTATGGCAGCCTTCTTATTTGGGGGGCGGTAATTGAGGTTGAACTTAATACAAGAAAATAGGTAAAGACAAACCCTTGTCATAAAATGATTAATTAAGCCCACAAAAGCTTTTTTAAAACCTACTTCTCGTTTGCATTACTTTTAAAAATAATTTAGTGGTTGGATAAAAGTTTTGGTTTATGATAACCCTTTTAGTCATTAAATAGTACATTTTTGGTTATAAAGGTGTATGCAGAAGAACAAAAAGAAGGATAATTACATACATTTAGAAGAACCTTGGATATAGCAAAATGTTTCCAAAAGAGGGACAATCCTATTCATTTGAAGACTAATTGGGAACTATGACAAGGATGTGACTTTTGAATCAAAACGTTGGACCCAATAAGTTCCTTTTTTCATCTCAGAAAGTGAAGAGCTTTTTCTTTACCTTTGTGTCCTAATACCACCAGAAACTTGACTTATATAAAGGCATTTTCCATAGATCCACCACTGCTATGAAGACCCACCTCAAGCCTGAGGCTTGATCCCTGCACAGTCCCCAACCACCTCTATTCAAACGCCACCAAGGTTCCAGTTCCATAAGGCTACCACCCCTATAAAGACCAACCTCATGCCTGAGACTTGTTCGCCAGCACAGGCCCCAGCCACCTCTATCCAATGGCCACCATGGTTCCAGTTCCACAAGTCCACTACCCCTATGATGACCAACCTCCAGTCTGAGGCTTGTTCCAAACACAGTCTCTAATCACCTCCATCCAATGGTCACCATGGTTCCAGTTCCATAAGTCCACCACCACTATGAAGACCAACCTCAATCCTGATGCTTGTTCCCCAGCACAGTCCCCAACCATCTCTTTCCCAAGGACGCCATGATTCCAGTTCTTTAATATACCACCCCTATGAAGACCAACCTCAAGCCTGAGGCTTGTTCGCCAGCACAGTCCCCAACCACCTCTATCCAAAAGCCACTATGGTTCCGGTAAGCGTCTGCATTGCAGCGCTGAAGTCAGGTATTTTTGGTTTCCTCGATGGTCCCCAATGAGTCATTAGCTCATTTTCTGCTTACCACACTTTTCTGTTTAAGTGTTTTACATTTTTCTCTTTCACTTCCAGAGAAAATTACAAACCTCATCTTATAACTTTTAAATTATTTGACTTGGATACTTTCCAGAGATGATCGTTTTCTCGACGGAACAAATGGCCTTCATTGGCAGTCAGCTTTTTCTCTTTGTGACCAATAATGCTGAAATGCAATTAGAAGATATTTGTGTTTTTTTCTTTCCTATTACTGAGCATTAATAGTACGCAGAGTCCATGTGAGGATACAGTGGGGGAAGACGGTAATCTTGCTAGATTCGGTGCCCATCATCATTAGTATAATACAAGGCATTTGCCAGCTACGTTTTTAATTGTTCATTCTATAGCTTGCATAGAAAGCTGTGCTGCACAACCCCAGCTGTTTCCAACATAAGCTTCTTCAGCAATCTTCAGATGTCATAACCAAGGAGTGTAACACCAATAGGAGGCAATGGAAGGGGGAGGTATTGCCCCAGGTCAGTGAGCTTTTTAGAGATGTCCATAAACATAGCAAATTGTAATGATTTATATATTAGAGATCACAAACAATTAATATATCCTTTGGAAAATAATAAATGATACAACTCAAATGGTATTGTTCCACATTTTGCAATCAACTAAAAATATCGACTGAAAATATGATCGTTACACCCAGGACTTTTTTTCTCAGAGAATAGGTGCAGAAATTCCCCTCTGAGTCACCCCTTGTATCTGCCCCCCTACCCACCTCCAAGCACCGTCCCTTGGTTCCACCCCCTACCCACCTCCCAGTGCTGATCCTTTTAGACAATACAGAGACAAGTATCATTTTGTGGTGCTAAGTAATTTGTATGGAATTTGTTACTAAAAACAAAAAAGCAGCCAGCAGCAATTGACCACTCCCCAGCAACAATAGATCCCTCCAGCAACAATGGACCTGTGCAACAAAATACCACCCAGCAACAATAGACCTCCAGCAGCAACAACAGATCTCCCAGCAGCCAGCATCAATAGACTATTTAGTAGCGAGCAACAATAGACCCCTTCCTCAATAGTAGATCACTTCCAGTAACAGTTGACCCCCAAGCAACAATAGATCTCCCCAGCAGCAACAGTCCACCATGCAAAAATAGATCCTCTCTAGTGACAATAGAACCTCCAATAGCCAGCCTCAATTGACCCACCAGCACACAGTACTCCTTGCCATTACATACATTCAGTGCTGGATGTGCCGAAACTGTGTTCCCCCACATTCCCACTCAAACCTCCTTCTCCCATCCCTGCACTGCACAGGGGCTGCTGGCAGAGCGGAGGACAGGGGTCACTGCTGGCAGGGCAGAGGCACAGGGGTCACTGCTGGCAGAGTAGAGGAAAGGGATCAGAGCTGGCAGGGCAGAGGACAGGGGTCACTGCTGGCAGGGCAGAGGACAGGGGTCACTGCTGGCAGGGCAGAGGATAGGAGTCCCTGTTGGCTAGGCAGAGGACAGGGGTCCCTGTTGGCAGGGAAGAGGACAGGGGTCCCTGTTGGCAGGGCAGAGGACAGGGATCACTACTGGCAGGGCAGAGGACAGGGGTCACTACTGGCAGGGCAGAGGACAAGGAGACACTGTTGGCTGGGCAGAGGACAGGAGACACTGTTGGCTGGGCAGAGGACACGGGTCACTGCTGGCAGGGCAGAGGACAGGGGTCACTGCTGAAAAGGCGGAGAACAGGGGTCCCTGCTGGCAGGGCAGAGGACAGGGGTCATTGCTGGCAGGGAAGAGGACAGGGGTCACTACTGGCAGGGCAGAGGACAGGTGTCCCTGTTGGCAGGTCACTCAGAAGACCTCCCATCCCTGCACTGCACACAGCCTGGGCACAGGCAGCAGAGTTTCTCCTCCAGGGGAAGACATGGGAGTGGTGCAGGTAGCATTCCCCACCTAGCTGGGCCCCCTGCTGACCAGATCATGGATTTAGCTGGGCAGTACATTTACTTGTACATTTACATAGCTGCAAAGAGAGGGTAGCTGTCTGCAGTATAGTTCAGCGGGTAGGCAGAGAGCAGGGCGGTTGGCTTTGGGGGGTTGGCATAACTAAAAGCTGGGAGGCATAACACCCCCCTAAATCTGACTATAGCGATGATGTTATGTTCTCCACCTTGTCCAATCAGAGAATGCTTTGAATTTTCTCATAGTTTTGGGGGGAGGCATAACTAAAAGCTGGGGGGGGGGCATAGCCCTCCCCAGCGCCCCCTAGATCTGACTATAGCAGTGATGTTATGTTCTCCACCTTGTCCAATCATAGAATGCTTTGAATTTTCTCATACTTTTGGGGGGAGGCATAACTAAAAGCTGGGGGGGCATAGCCCACCCCAGCGCCCCCTAGATCTGACTATAGCAGTGATGTTATGTTCTCTACCTTGTCCAATCAGAGAATGCTTTAGTTTTCTCACAGTTTTGCACAAGTCCAACTACTGCTAGATTTACAATAAGCTGGAGAACTGAGAACCTTCATAGACAGACTGGGAGCTCCTTCATGTGACAATGACTGATGGGAAAGAAGTGCAGTGGAAATGTCTCAGGGCGGAGTCCAATAAATACAGAGTGGGATTCTAATGGGGGATGACTTCGGTCCTGGTCATGCCGGATGCCGTACTGTTTGTAGATGCTCTGGTATCTGCTTTCTTTCACATTACACAACCATAGCACGTGCTTGCAATGTGTGTGGATGTTATGTTTTCTTACCCTTTTCTTTACTTTAAAAAGAAGAAAAAAACAGTTTTGACATTTCTGTTAATGCACAGAGAAAATACAGCGCAAGTGTTTTTGTGCATTACCACTCATTCCTGTAGGCCAGAACACATACTTTAAGGCAGCGGGTCCTTGGTGTTGGAGTGCGATGGATAACAGCTACCAAATAATGACCGGAAATTGTCTGTGTGGGGTGATTTTTATATGGTGAAGATGGGTGTTACCATGAAGGGTGTGATGCTTGTGAGTTGCGTGTTACAAATTTGCACCATTGGTATTAAACCCAAAGCCAAAAATTGATTATTTTGCAGCTTACCAATCATTTGAAGCCAAGCTCCAGCCCACACTTTTTAGGCAGTTACAGCAAACAGGTTTTTCCTTCTGGGATAAAGGTTTTACATAGATAAGTAAAAGCCAATCATTGTAAGAACCCCTGTCAGTGGTAAATGGTTTGTCTTAACCTTCTAACTTAGGGGTGTCAAACCAGAGTTCAGTGCCACGTTAATTCAGCACCCAACTCCATTCTTGGCATCTTGCTAACACTGGAAGTGTACATTCCGCTGCACCACAGGCAGTGTACAAGAAAAAATGCTGGCAAAGAGATATTGGCATTTGTTTTGGCAGAACAGATATACAGGGGTTCATTTACTAAAGGCAAATAGGCTGTTCACTTGGCAAGAGTTGTTGAACTTTGCAAGGGAATTTGCCCTAGAGATTTGTGAATGTGGTTAGGTTCAGGGCCGGAATGACCATTTGGAAACTTGGACACTGCCCAAGGGCCCAGGGTCAGTAGGGGGCCCCATGAGATGCCCCTGGTACCTTTTTCATAGGCTTTTTTGAGTTTGGGCAAGGACACAGGGGCCCCATGATTCCCTATTGCCCGGGGGCCCCATGAGTTGTCAGTCCACCCCTGGTTAGGTTTAACTTTACAAGGAATACCCAATCTCATGCAAGGAAAATATGAAAAAACAGCATTTTGCTT